AAAATGGAATTTGTTGGGATTTTTGGTCCCAATAATCAGAATATTCCCATTTTTCATAGATAAATTTAGAAAATTCAAATTTCWGGGTCACCTTTGGAATTTCCAACGGGGGAAGGAACAGAAATTTCCAGCAATTCCTGGGGAGGTTCAACACAATCCTGAAAAATCAAAAAAGGACATTTTTTAGCATTTTTTTAGGATCTCTTTGGGGTTTTTTTGGGGCCTGTGGTGATTTTTGTGTTTTGGGGAGTTTCTTGGGGTTTTTTGAGGGTTTTTTGAGGGGGTTTTTGGGTCTTTGGGGTTTTTTCTTGGCATTTTGGGTGGGGATTTTCTGGATTTTGGGGCTTTTTTGGTTTTTCTCAGTTTTTTGGTGGTTTTTTGGGTTTTGGGGGTATTTTCTGGGTTTTTTTGAGTTTTTGGTGGTTTTTTTGGGTTTTGGGGTGGTTTTGTGTTTTTTCATGTTTTTTTGATGGGTTTTTTGGGGTTTTTGGGGGTTTTTTAAGTTTTAGGTCTTTTTGGGGTCTTTTGGGGTTTTTTTTCATTTTTTGTGTGGCTTTTTTTCAATTTTGGGGTTTTTTTGTGTTTTCGGTGCGTTTTTTGTAGGTTTCTTTTGGGGTTTTTTTTTGCTTTTGGGTTTTTTTTTGTGTTTTTCCCCCACCAAACCCCACACTCACCTGCTCCCAGCCCAAATCCAGCACTCCCAAAGCCTCTCCAGGGATTTTTCCCCCCATTCCAGGGGATTTCTCCCCCCGTGGAGGCCCCGGGGAGGCTCCTCTGCGCAGGGGGGTGTTGGGGGGAAGGCTCTGATCGAAGATTTCAGGGCTCAAAACCTCCCCAAAAGTCACTTTTTTCTTCTTTGGGGTTTTGGAAATTGGAATTTCAGTCGGGTCTGTTGGAAAAAAAAAGGGAATAAAAAGGTGAGGGAAGGGGGAAATGGGAGGGGTTTGGGTTTGAACTAAAAAAAACCAAAAAAACAGGATAAAATTGATTTTAGAAGGGTTGTAAGGCAGGATTTTCAGTAAAGTTATTGAATTATAAAAAAATTAAGGAAAAATAATTTAACAGAAAAATCAATTTTTTTTTTTTCTGAAAAAGGGGATCTTGACCTTTCTGAGATATTTCCAAGGTTTTCACACAATTGGAGGCTGCAGCAGCTCCATCTCCTCTGTCAGTGGAATTGGGTGAAAATTCCTGTCAAAAATCAGAAAATTTATTGAAAATTTATTGAAAATTTATTTAAAAATTGTCCACTGAGCAACATTTATTAATCAATTGTTTTGTTGAATCAAACCCACCCCAAAGCTTCCAAAGTGGATTAAATGATCCCAAAGTGGATTAAATGATCCCCAAAGGGCTTTAAATGATCCCAAAAATGCTTTAAATGATCCCAAAGGGCTTTAAATGATCCCAAAGTGCATTCAATGATCCCAAAGTGTGTTCAATGACCCCAAACTGGATTAAATGATCCCAAGAATGCATTCAATGATCCCAAAGTGCATTCAATGATCCCAAAATGCATTAAATGATCCCCAAAGTGCTTTAAATGATCCCAATAATGCTTTAAATGATCCCAAAAATGCTTTAAATGATCCCAAAGGGCATTCAATGATCCCAAAGTGCATTCAATGATCCCAAAGTGTATCAATTGATCCCAAACCATTCCCAATCCGTGCCCATCAATCCCAAAACCATCTCTGAGCTCCCCCCAGCACAGATCCCACCTTTGGATCCACGAGTTCCTTTCCAGGGGTTTTTTTCAGGATGGATCCCAGGTTTGAGCAGTCCAGGTCCCTTCCAGGGGTTTTTCTCAGGATGGATCCCATATTTAGGCTCTCCAGTTCCCTTCCTGGGGTTTTATTCAGGATGGATTCCATGTTTGGGCTCTCCAGTTCCCTCTCCGGGGTTTTTTCCGGGATGGATCCCAGGTCTGGATCCAGGAATTCCCTCTCCGGGGTTTTATTCAGGATGCATCCCATGTTTATG